TCCGAGAACTTTCGCCGCCAGTATTGGCGTTTCGCACTTCTGACTATGCGACGGAAATCCTCTCTGCTCTCTTCGTCCCTGAATATCCTGTATTCGCGTTTAGCCTGAGAGCACTCCAACGTCTACCAAGGTGCCGTCCTATCCTTCTTTGCACTCCCGCGTCTTCCGGTAGACCTGATAACATTGCTAATGGTTTGGACCAGCTTATCATCGAGGTTATCTACCGCGCATATTGAGTCCAATGGCTTTAACCCTATTCCATGGGCCCACCTACCCAGTACTGTGGCGAAGTCTTCGAGGGTGTTGTCTGTCATTCTGACCGGTTGACCAGTTTTGATAACCGCTATGGCTTTCGAGTTCGGGCAGGGAACGTCTCCTGCAAGCGTTCTGTAGTCCGATGTTGAGTCAAGCTCTGTCGAGACATTTGCAAGGGCACCAGCGTTAGACCAGACCAGGTCGAGTTTATTTCCGAGATCGTGTGTCGGGACGCCTGGTGTAGAAGATAACTCCATACCGTGCTCGATCATCCACTCGGTGAGCACCTGGCTGTCACCATGTAGCCTAGTAGTCATTGGCTCCCAGTCAGGGTGAACAGCATTGAAGTCTCCGCCAATAACTGTAGGCCCAGATAGAGCCCATGATAGTAGCGGCATAAGGCCTGCTCCAGGAGTGCGGTATACAGAGACAAATGTGACTCCTTCTACCTTTACTGCAGTGAAATCTAGTGATGTCTCGCAGATTGCTTGCTGTTGGTACTTCATCCCTTTTAGCGTGTAGATGAGGGAGCGTGGCCTTGAAGAGTTGGCAGCAGCATGGGGAGGCAAATGCCTATCAAATTCAGGATGCGACTTGGTGAGCCAAAAGCCATCCTTGTGTTGAGTCCATGGCTCCTGGATGAGTAGGACATCGGTTCCTGAATCCCAAGCAGATTGCAGGATGATATCCGTAGCCGGGTCTCCTCTGCCCAAATTAGCACAGAGGAACGATATTGTTGTTGCGTTTGTATGAAGCTCGGTTGGGTTGTGGTCCCTTACGGGCATTGAGCAACATTTATATTTTCGTTTTCAGCAGTAGCCTCGGTGGCTTTCTGCTTTACTTCCATCTCTCTGATCGAAGCGTTCCGTTTCTTTTGACCTTATTCGCGAATTACCGCCAGCTAGTCTCTTGTGCATTGCACTGTCTTCCCACCAGCCCGTGTCGGCCTAGCCATACAGTTAGGCTCATTTGCAGCATGTGGCCCGTGGCAATTGATGCACCTTGGAACGGCCTGTTTGCACTCAGTAGCTTTGTGCTCAATTGAGCCACAGCGGGAGCAGCGATCTGCTCGTGAGCAAATCTTAGTTAGGTGGTGTCCCCAGTATGGGTTGCACTGCACAATTTTGAGCTTGCGCTGGAGTTCGCGGAGGCGTCTGCTTTCTTCGAATAGTCTTTCTCCAAGCTTCGGTTTTCCTGTTGCGAAGCGCAACACCCAGTCTGTTGACGGCCTGGCCATGCTAGTTGCGAAAGCACGAGCCGAGGTTGGTCCAACTACTGTTTTGAGAGCTGCTTCTTCTATTACCATCTCTTGTTTCACTATAGTGGGCCCTTCCAGAGTGCAGAGCTTGTTTGGGATATTCGGTGCTAGAACTGAGATCCAATTGGAGGCGGCTTCCAATTTCATTTCTGAGCTATCTGATATGGCTCCTCCTGAGAAAAGTGCACCTCTTGCACCTTCTCCTTCGGCTTGTATTGCGAACCCTGAGTTCACGACAGTGACCTGTTTGATTGCTGAGATGGCCAGATGTAGCTTGCTAGCTAGGCTGATTTTTACGAAGTGAGGTGACATGCGTCTCCACGGTGTTACGACTGACCTGAGGATGATACGGGTATCTAAGAAGAAGTTGTATTTGGACATTAGGCTACGCTACGTAGGTAGGAGAAAAGATAAAGAGAAAGGAAGTGCTGGGAGCTACGAGCTTGAGGTAAGCTCGACCGCGGCTCCACCTTAGTCCGGCCTGCATCCCCGTTATACATTATCATGTGATCCCGGATTCTTCCACCAGTCTACCTCCAAGTGCCCTCGCAAGTCCAACCATAACACATGGATGGTCAGGTCGGAGGCGCAAGAATAAGCGCTCGTCCGGTCGTTGGGGGTTTGCTGCTGAAGCTTTAAACTTCACTGTAGTGGCGGGCCTCATTAGTAATGTCTTGGGAGTGGAAGTTGGAGCCGCTTGGTTTGCTGGCTTGTTTCTTTTTCCCAACACCTCGGTCCAAGATTTCTCTGTTGTGTTGTTGTTTGTTTTGTTCGAGCCCTAGTTAGGCTAGAGAGTTGCTGTTGTGGTAGACGGCTTTGATGGTGCCGGTCTGTTCTTTTTTCTGGCAAGGATCAGCACTGGACGTGTGACGCTTGTAGGACTTTGTTTAGGAGGCTCTATAATTTGAACTGGATTTGGTGTGTTGGTATGGCCACTTTCAGGCTTTTGGGGGGCGTAGGCGTCAACTTGAGATGTGTTGCCCCACAGAATATTCAAGATCTTGCCCTGAAGGGCCAATAAGTCCTGATCAAAGAGTTTCCGAAGTCTCTCGTCAGTGACTGGTTCCAGCAGCTTGCAGAACCCGACGATAAAGCGCTCGGCTTGTGCAGAGCGTGTCTGGAATGTCTTGCCCTACTCGGCGAGGAATTCGGTCGCGACAATTTGAGGCGACAGAGTTGAATTATTGGGTGAGTTTTGGTGACCCACCTCGTAGATTGGCTCTACGAATTGTTGTGTAGATGAAAGAGATGGATGTTGTGGCCCGTTCAGGAACATTTCAACGGCTTGACGCGTCGAACGTTGAGTAGGGATGCGGGGCCAGGGGCCAGCCTCTGCAGAGGACTGGGGCAGCATGAGTGATTGAGAAATAAGTGTGGCAGTAAAATATCGTAGGTGGAATGCGATGTGAGGCGGACAGCTGGTCGGACTTTTGAAGTTTCTAGGTGCTATAGTGCGTGCTAGAGCGTCGGGTAGTTCTGTAGGGACTGGGTCGTTCAGCACGCAACAGTAGTCACGAGCTGTTTTTATTTTTTGTTTTGTTTTGTTCATTTACATGCTAGGTATAGTGATTCCCGTTGAAATCCTATTGGGGCTTACGCACGGGTGGGGCCGAGCCGGATCAGGTTAACCACCGTGAAGTACAAGTGCCTCGTCCCACCTAAATGACCGGACCACCTCAGACTTCACCCATGTGTTGAATCATACCAAGCCCAACCGTCCAGGGAACCCTCTTTTGGCGTGCCGAAGCGCAATTTCCTCCTCAGCCTCGGCCACCACGCGCCCGAGCCCTTGACACCTACGCCATCTGTTACTTTCCCCTTCGAATTATTTCCAGCTTTGGCTCATCTCAGCATCTTCTCATCTCATCCAGGGGTCGTTTTCTTCACTGGAGGCCTCATCCAGTCGCCCACCAAGGACTCCTCAGTTTGTGTTCCCTTTTGGTTCCTCCATGTGGCATCCCTCTATTCTTCAGCCGATATCGTCATCCAAGAAACTTTGTAGAATGTCCATTCCTCCGGCCTTGCCCTGTCGCTGCCGTACCCCTAACCGTGGAGGTCGAGAACGCGACTGAGAGCTCAAGACCGAGGCACCGGTGCCCCAGCCTTTGTCGAATGCTCTAGTTGGTATGCCGATGAAATGTCGTACGTATTTCGTTGGTGGCGATTCGTCGCAGGTCGAGTTATTGGTGCCCTTGGCCGAGGTGAGGACGCATTTAAGGCCGGTATTTCGACCGTATCTTCACAGTGACTGGCAGTTGCGTAGGTTCGGACGTTCTCTTGCTTCTTAGTTGGCGATTTGGCTTTTAGAGGTATGGGATTGCTTAGGTAGATGATGAGATGAATGTGGAGAGGGCCGCAAGATGAGTTTGGCTGAGAATGAATTTCCAGAAAAAGAAAATAAGATCTTGAAGGTGTCGGGTGTTGTGATACTGTTCGGATTAGGTCCTGGTCAACAATGTCTAGCCTAATTGTGCTATGTTGCAGGCTACTGTTACAATTATTCATGGGGTCATCATCAGGGCTGTGAGTAGTTTCGGTTTTGGTGTGGGTTGTTAGATTGATACCTAAGCGTGTCGCAAAGTAATCAGACATGCAACTCGAGTAGCATATGCCCGGTAAACCTCAACCCCAAAATGATGATACGAATCAAGTTTTATATGCTACGTCCTGTATGGCTATCGTAGTTGGAATATGGGGAATTTACCTGTAGATAGATAAAGACGTTGTAGCCCTCTGATAGTTGGGACAAGTCTTCTACAATATTATATCGGAATCAATTCTTTCCACTCATTAAGCAATCTCATGAATTATTTCCATTGTCTGTGATAACAGACACACATATACAATATCGACAACAAATTCAATGTCGATAAGATACGAACATCAGTCAGGTTATAGGCTGTCTGCAGCTCGTATCTGTGGTGTAGATGGTTGATTTTGTTGAGCTGTGCAGTCGTGAAATCTCTGCAAGTCAGATTTTCGACCAAAAATGAGCCAACACTACTCCTCCCGATCGCCAACTCGACGAAAACTCTCAAATCCACCCTTTGTCGTGACTGAATCTCGGCTCTGGGAGAATATTTCACTCCCAGGTTTGTAGAGGACACCACTGACAGGTGTTTAGCCTTCGTCCTCCTAGTCACGAGCTGCGGATAGGCATGACGTTAAATTCAATCTAATCAAATCAAATAGGGCTCTTTAGTCAACGTTTCGAACGCAATACCGTATCCCACATATCTTTCTTGAGAACCGCTAACCCGGTCTTCCACCTCGCCTACTTATGGCTTTGACAAACTAGTCATTGACAGCTTCTAATAATAAAGTCACTTCGTGGGTTACACTACTTGATGCTTTCAAAGGGGAAAGCGACGTTAACGCGTCATATTCTAATGGTGCACTCTGGATTATAGTTAGTTTCAGAAAAGTTACGTGTTACTTTTGATTCACATATCCTGTCTTAATACAGTTCATAGCGCTGTTGCAGAGCCTAACCCTCCCTTGCCGATAAAAAACATAGCTTCCAATCTTCTCCATGTTGTTCATATAATCGTACGGTTGGTAAAACATCTATATATTGGAGCAAATACTCCATCAAGGCTGGTAGTTGAAAATGACGGTTAGTGAGAGCTAAGTCAAAAGAGTGGGAAAACTGACTGCCATCCAGTATCTTCTTTCGGAATCGATATGCCCCCAAGATGTTGCCATAGGCTATCGAGGGGTGATCGGGTTCGATATTTTCGGGCTTCGCGTCTATTGCCGTTGCTAGAAGATCTTGATGAAAATACCTTGATCCACTCGGACATTCTATTAAAGGGTCAAACCACGGGGCTGGCACTAGGCGCGGAAAACCAGCCAAAACCGCCATCGTAGCTACACTTAATGGCTTCATTTGGCCGATGCTATTGTCTTGAGTTGAAATTGAGTGCTTGAGACTGTGGGCCGACTAGGATCAAAATCAAGGGCTGGAGGAAGATGAGAGACTCGATGTGATGCGGATTGATGGATGTTTATTGTTCAAGAGAGATGCTTCTATTGACGAGGGTGGGAGTAATGGTAATACTTATGGTAGAAAGTAAGAGTCTCATTCATTCTAAATTTTGACATGACTTAATTTCAATTTATCAACCGACCTAATTAATTGTCGCTGCAGCATCCAGATCTTGATCCTTGGCGAGTCCACTGATAGGAAGGTAAAAGCCAGTCTGTGCCTGGAAATCTTCCAGTTGATGACTGTGCGACTCATGTCAGCCTTATTTTGCCGTGAGAGGAAGATTTAAACTTGTATAGGTGGGCGATTTGCGAGGATAAACTACCACATCTTCAATCTTTCAACTTTCATCAGACGACAACCCATGTCAGACAGATCCGTTGTCGTATTCTACTTCAAGATTTCTCCCGCTTGGCCAGGCTGGTAGTTCGATAGAAACGAAGCTGGATAGACCCAATTGCCTAGCTTAGCCTTCCATCGAGATACTTCAGCAGCGCGCCCTGTCGGAATTGTCCCCGGCGTCTAGTGAACTCTCTAGTTCCGTCGACTACAAGCTCAACTGGAGGTACTCAAGTTTGCATAGTTTTGATTACTTTCGATATCTGTGTACTGACTCCTTGTAACAGAGATACTACAGAAAGCCAGGAGTGCTTACACGCGCGATTGTATTTAAACTATTCAACTATAGAGTGCCAAGTTCCACTTAGAAATCCACATATATATACAGACCTATTGAAAACCAGGTTCTTCCTTCCAACATCTGCTCACACCTAGATTGTTACACTTTCTACCCCTAGAATATCATTTCTTTCAGCCTCTCCGATTATCAGTCTCGGTCTTACTTGTATGGTGTCACGGTTTTAGCAAAAAATGCATGGGCAGTCTTTTAAGTACAGTATTTTAATTTTAATCTTGGAGGGAATTCCTACAGCTGAAGATCACCTATATATTTAATCTTAAACGTCCCTTGGTATGATTGCCTTCGCTGGTCAGCCTAGGCTACCGGAATCCTGAGGCTTAATTGCCGCTCTACACGGAAACTTTTCTAGATCCTTCGCCAGTGGTTCCAATATATTATACAGGGCTCTCGGGTCAGCCTTATCTCCAGTGGTTATACGCCGGTATTTGGAAATTACATCCCACCAAGTAACCCCGAGAGTCTTTACATTGCTAGGGAGCTCACTGGATGGGATGTCGTTAAATAGAGGGGGGCATGGTAAAGTATCTACAATTCATGGATATAGCTCAGGATTACACTTCTACCCCACACAATATTCGAGATGAGGGATGTTTGAAGGCTTTGATGTTGTGAATATCGTAAGCATGACTTGTAAATGTCTATTTACGACAGATATAATGTCTATGACAGATATCTCGGCAGGGGCGCCAAACCACCACGCATGACGAGTTTAAGGCAGAGTCATGTATGCGTGAGTGAAGCATCCGGGTCGGGAAGTCGCAGGCAATGAGTATCATATATACTTAGCAATGTGTCATAGTCGTGAACCTAGGGTCCAGTGATACGTAGACAACGGGGGATGCAACTGAGTCAATGAGTCACTTTTCGATCAAGAAGTACTGGCCCAGTCATGTGGGATAAAGGATAGCACAAGAGACATGTATATGATATAGCGATATCTTTATGTTCGGATAGAAATAAATATAAGCAATCAATGGAATACTATCGAGATCACTATTCATATCATCCTAGCATCATCAAGTACACAATAATATTCCAATATTAGATTTCTGAGTATGATCATAAAGATTAATTATGTTGACTCGATTTCACATGATTAAGCTTACCTGGGCGACATAGAGTCCAGTGATATCTGAAATATACTTGCTTGGGATTGCTACCTTGCGATAGTTGAGTGGCTGATTGTTGCCGGACCACTGGGAGATGGGGATCACTAAAGTATTGGGAATATTTAAGGATAGATCCATCTGTATATGTTAAACGAAGAAGACGGAATATTATCTGTTATTGATTCATATTGAGAAGAGATTTCGACAATATATACAACTATCAATAAAGCCTTGTCCGAAATGGTACACTTGTTCTTCGAGATATTTCCTGTTAGAAATCTTTAACAATTTCTAACATTTATTGGTCTGCGGTAGCTTGAGAGCCTCCTGCCGGAACCGTTCCCTGATCGTGCCCGTTGCCTGAGTTGATTGGAGTGCAATGGTTTGGCCATGCAAAAGGAGGCTCCGTTATTGAGATTAAGGCATAAGTAGATATTGTAATGGCTGGTGAACCGAGAGTAAGCCCTGTAGCCAGCGCAGGCGCCCTTTCTACCCGCTGGTTTGGTTTGGGTTGTTCATTAACGTGCTAGGTAAAGTGACTACCTTTGCACTCCTCCTGGAGCTTAAGCACGGGTGGGGCCGGGCCGGATCAGGTTAACTACCATTACGTACATCTACCTCGTTCCATCTCAGACTTCACCCATGCGTTGAATCATACCAAGCCCAACCGTCCAGAGAAGCCTCTTTTGGCGCGCCGAAGCGCAAATTCCTTCTCAGCCTCGGCCACCACGCGCCCAAGCCCTTGACACCTTCGCCATCTGTACATTTTCCCTTCCATTCAGCCCCAGCTTTGGCTCACCTCTGCATCTCCTCATCTCATCCAGGGCTCGTTTTCTTCATTGGAGGCCTCGAGCACGGAGAGTGACATAATTAGAGGACTGTGCAGTGGACCGTATGCCGGAACATCTATTGAGAAAGTTAACAGCATTCGGATAGGCTCAGTGAGAATAGTTACCGGCACGGCAAAATTGATTGAAAGGTAGCTGAGTGGTAGGGTGAGCATCGGGAGTTGAAACCAATGCAGAAACCTAATCTCCCCATAGCTTCGCCTGTCCGCTCTTAGGAATACACGCGGGCCATGAATTGGTGGAGAGCGCGGGTGTAAATAAGCCCTTCTTGTACATACATATTCTCTCCTTAGAACAATCATAAACTTTTGATCGTGCATCTCAAGCCAACTTGAGAACTTCTCCGACCATCACATCTGACCGTTGTTTGAGCATAGGAAGAAACCTGAGCGTTTTACTAGGAATAATTACTATAAGGATGAAAGAGGAAGGATGGACAGATATACATGAAATTGCACTGCTATCGAGGAGGTCGAATCAACATCATAGCATAATGGCTCTTTATGATATTTTGCCTGAAAGCATTTATGTGTGTGTTTTTTATTGTACTGCTTGAGACATAGTCTATGGGGCACATTGGGCACCTCTCTGACCTAAGCCACAATTTGTACTGTGCTTCTATTCTTTTTTGTTACTTGTAGGATCATTGATATATTCCCCTTGACGAATAGCCATTCAGCTCAGTATTTACCCGTGGAATTCGGCCACCTTGTTCATGGAACCTTCTACCCCCCGCCAAAAAAAAAAAATAAAAAAAAATAAAGGTAGCAATGGAAACTGCATGCGCGGGAAAAAGTCTCAAAAAGCCTGCAGCCCCAGCCAGGCGAGGCCTAGACACCGGGACCACATGAGGTGAGCATATTCATCTATATATCCCTTCTTTGTAACATTCGAGGCAGACTTGGTCCAATCCGCCATCTCCGTATCGGGTGCTGGGTACGCTCTGGAAACTCATCGGATGGCTTCTCCTTCATGATCAAGGATTGGTGATGAGCAGGGCTCCGACCCTACCATATGATCACGCAAGCGATGGGGAATCCTCGTCGAAGTGAGGACTTTGTTACTCAACCCCGGCTCTGCAGACTCTACAATGAGAGTTGGAGGTTTGTAGGGGACACAACTAACAGGTGTTGAGAACAGTCCCCCTGAAAGCATTTATTAGGCCTAAGGGAAAGTTATCAGTCAGCAGATTCAAGACACGGATCGAACATTATAGTTACCTATTCATCGACTTTAAACTTGACCGTCGACTTCGTATATGTACATCTATTATCACAGACATTGGAAATAATTCATGAGGTTGCTTAATGAGAGGTGTCAGAGCAGCACGTAGACAGCAGGGCGGAGACATGGGTCGTAGAGGTGGTATTGAGGCTAAAGGGCGCCATCCTACATTATGCGTGAGATAGGTGCATAACCACTCGGCCAAAAGGCCAGACCAGAATCATAGAACACTAGATTATGGTTATCTCCACATATATAGATTATACAGAAGGCAATCCTGACAAGAGGCTAGTATTGATTCCAATATAATTTGGTAGAAGACTTGTCCCAACTATCAGAGGGCTACAACGTCTTTATCTATCTACAGGTAAATTTCCCATATTCCGACCACGCTAGCCATGCAGGACGTAGCATATAAAACTTGATTCGCATCATTAGTTAAGGGTTGACGCTTACCGTGCATATGCTACTTGTGTCGCATATCTGACTAATATGCGACACGCTCAAACATCAATCTACCAACCCAAATCAAAATCGAAGTGTTACAAGATGTAGCCATGTAGTCTAGAACCGGAATTTATCCGGTCCCTTGCCAAGCACTAACACATTTGTGGCCAAGCGTTGTTATTGCTTATGTAAAGGGACACCTTACATAACGCGTATTTTATTTTCATGAAAATCTGTAAAGAGTATTCTTCTCTTTAGAAAGAACATAAATTCTGTTTTGGGCACATATTACCTATAAGTTTATGTCCCGTCCTTTTACACGAAACTACTTACAACCCTAACAATGACCCCATGAATAATTGTAATAGTAGCCTGCAACATAGCACAATTAGGCTAGACATTGTTGACCCGGACCTAATCCAAACACCTTGTCAGACCAGTATCAGAACCCGGTGGAATTCGTATTCCTGAATTAATGTTTCGTGATTCATGTAAATTCCATTCTTCTAACATGATTGTAACATTTTTGTCAGAATAATATGCCAAGCTGGTACCTGACATAATTTGTGATTG